CCCCCCCCCCCCCTAAAGTTAACACTCCTACCGAACGCCTACCGGATATAGTCACGCCACGCCACTGAAAATAAACAATGTTGAGAAAAGCTTCCCTCAATCATCCATAAGATGTTGCAACATTTCTGCTAGATACTTTGTATGATAACGCTGAAAAATTAATTTTTCAGCTTTTGTACAGAGTCAATTTTAAAAGAGCATCATGCTCAGAAAGTGGTAAGAAGTATCCCATTAAATAATATCGAAATTTAGCCAGTGAGGAATTTCTTGGTATTTCATGCGTAGTCCTTTCTTTTGTTTTTTGGTTTTTTCATTACAATAATTTCTTTAAGGCACAATAAAAAATATTTTAACCTGATGATCAATCTGGCCAACAAAAACTATTCTGACACATAACTGGAAATCATACATAAAAAAATAATAAAACAAAAAAAATATAAAAAAAACAAAGAAAAACCCCAATTGAATAAGGTCAGAAGTCATATTTGTAACTTGCCGTAATTTACGCCATAACAAGGTGAAGTGAAAAGTTCAAAGTGAAGTGCCTATCTGGATGTGTATAATAGCAAGAATTATTTGAGATTCATAGAAAATTTACCAAAAGGACTCTTCAATTACACATACCTCTTCAAAGACAGCATCGATATTAAGAGGTGGATCTTTGGCACTTGATTCTATGTACGGAATGCCCAGTTTATGTGCAAGTTCACGCCCAGATTCCTCGGAGACTTGTCGTAAGTGAACTAAATCTACTTTATTAGCCACAAGCAGCATTGGATAGATATCCCTGGAAAATACACCTCTTCATTATGAAATTGGAAAAATGGATTTGATTAATAATTAGACAGATAATTAGTGGCAATAGTAATAATTGATACAGGCAGCAAGACAGGATAGAGGAAAAATCTTTATTTCTCTAGGGTGCTACAAGACACAAATTATACAGAGCCGTGTATGAAGGAGGTCTAGCACCTTCTATTAGAAGCTAATTTTAGGGGTTCAGATGGTTATTCTTGCACTTGTATTGTGCCATTCATAAGTTTCTTTGAACTGTATAATTGCGCTAGAGCATGAAAATTACAAGACAAAGATGTGAGTAAATTTTTCTGTAAAATGCAATGAAATTGAAAACTTCATAGAATCTTGCATGTCTTCCGTTTCGAGTCAGTGCAAAAATAACTTATCTTTGAAGAGTATAACTGGGAAATGATGAAAACATTGTTCCTGTAAGTATCAATAAACATACCTCCTGTAAAAATAAGGATCGATAATCTTTTTCGCAGTAAATGGTTCTTTTATGAGCAGGTATTTCTATGAATTAAAAAATGAAAATCACATAAAACTTGAGTACGGTTATTTTTGAACCGACAAATTCAGTTGAAAATGCGAATTTTTTGAAGGACCAAGCTAATAGAACAAATAATAGGTACCTCAGGTTTGCCAACTTACCGATCTTTCACTCTTAAAATTTGAGTGTAAAAACTATCTATGTTCTTGAAGCTTTGCACATCGGTGACTGAGTAAACAAGCAAGAATCCGTCCCCTTTGCGCATATACTGTTCACGCATTGCACTGAATTCTTCTTGACCAGCTGTATCTAAGACTGTTGAAAAACAGTGTATTAATCAAATCAGTTTGGAGAAAGAAGTTTGACATCCATGTCTAATGGTTGTCAATTGGTTGTATCCTTTGCCAGGCGAGGAGAAAAAATACCTTAGTAGTCAGAGTAAGTAACTTTCATCGGCAGCAATAAATACACTGTGGGCTCCTTTGAATTTTATTATAAATGAAAGAACATTGTTGATATTGAATAAAAACTGTAATGCGATTTCAATTTTTGTCACAATCGTAATGAAATGATTCTAAAATATTAAAGATAAAAATTGAATTTCAGACACAAAATTCTCATAAAGAGATTTATAGGATAAGGGTCTCCTTGAATTTAACTTCTCAATTATGACCGACCATCAAAGGATTGGCCCCCGGCTTTGCTAGAATTTATTCATGATACTCTGGGAAATGATGTTTCATTTCTTAGCTTGATGAAAATGGTACAAATACAAGCAAAAACGCTCCCAGTACACAAGAAGGTACTTGGCATGATGTTGGAGATAAATATCTCGCTTCTCAAAAAAGTACTTGATAAGATGCGCCGTTAAAATTCAATCAATTGCTAACAGCAATCTTCCATATTTCTGCTCAGTTCCATGAATTATTTCATTATCTTCTAAAATTTCACCAGACAAAAAGTTGAATAAAATATTTACCATCAAGAATACATAAAGTTCCATCGACTTCAGCATGCTGTATGTAGCTGTCTTCAATTGTTGGATCATAGTCAGTCACAAACAATTTCTGGAAGAACTGAATGGTGATTGCACTTTTACCGACGCCTCCATCCCCAACGACCACTAGTTTGTACGTTACCAAGTTTTCATTTGGAGTCCGAGACATTCTGAATCTTCGTCTACCTATTGTTGACTCAGATCAAGCAGCTGCTCTGCTGCTTGCCTCAGAAAAAACCTATAAAATGCAAAATTGAAAATTCAATATACGCAATCCACAGAGATTAGGGACCAGTCAGGGAAAAAGATCCTTTGTGTCCAAAAGTTACAATTATCCCCCCTTGAAGTTCACCCTCAGTAGGAACTTTAAAACTTGCTGGAAAATAGCTTGAATTTGAAGTAGCAAATTAGTGTTCTCGCCAAAGGTATAGGCAACTTTTAGAGTAAGACAAAATATTTACTGTCGCAATTCATGAACACATTTCAATGACAGAATGGAGACAGAGGCTTTTCCACGTCACTCTAGATGTCAGCCAAGACATTTGAAGAGAAGCCGTAAAAGCTCAAATAAAGGCACACCTTGACTATAAACGCACAATCACAATCTGAAGTCCACAGTGCGCTCACCGCGTACAAGTGCTGGTGCATCTAATTAAGAGAGCACCAAAGGATAGAAGTGATAATTTTGGGGTTAAAAATGACTCAAGATTATAGCTGCACATGAAATCATACCAAAAATTATTGAGTACGATATATTACATAGAGTTTTCATAATTCTGCAGCACTTACCATAACCTAAGACTCATTCAACTCAAGGTCTTTGAAGAGAAATTCACACTGAATTACGGCAGATCAGTAAACCAGAGATAAAAATACAAGTTTTAAGCAAATTTCAAAATGATATATTAAAATAAAAAATCATGGAGGGTCGGATAAAAAAACCATCACCGTGATAACACTTGAAATTGAAAATGCAAGTTCTTCATTTTGATTTAGATAAGATAACAAGACTCAAAACAAAACAATAGGGTATGGAAGGGCGGGGTAGAGGATGGGATTTAACCACGATGTGCTATTGGCCGATCACAGGATCACTTGAATATTTGAGAATTGGCGGGAAATTACAAAAACTTAATTTATTTGACTGCCTGACGCTCTGAAGAAGTGAGCTCACTCACAAAAAAATATTTAGGGCCATGATCACGCTGTTAGTAGGCTACAAAAAATGTGCAGCCCCCCTGTGGTGCTGATGCGACGGGACCAGCCGCCGTATCGCAAAAAGGAAAAATAAAGGGGAGAGGAAGAAAGAAAGATGGGAGAGACAGGAAAAACTGTTTTTGACGCAATGCGTGAAGTATTCATGCAGTCTTGTAGGCACTATGAGTTTCACGCCAACCGCTGCTGACCGCACTACGTTTGACGCAATGCGTGAAGTATTCATGGAGTCTTGTAGGCGCTGTTATAATTATGTGTTTCATGCTGACCGGCGCGCCGAGGGCTTCTCCTTTCCATCTCAAGTCCTCGTCATCGTTGCTCTCTGCGCCGCGCCGCGCCGCCGCTTCAGGCCGAATTGCGTGTTCGGTTCCTCTCTCAACTAGACTAATGAAAGGCGCTGTCTCTTGTATCACCAAAAGACGAACAAATTAGAAATTACTATACTTTAACTCTCAGGAAATGAGAGATTTTTTCGCTTTTTCTCGTTCGTTATTTTTTTTCTGAATCGGATTTTTCTCATGATACCTACATTTGAAAAAATTACATTTGCCGCCCCCTAAATTGCCGCCGTGGACCGCAGCCCATGTGGCCACCCCCTAAATCCGGTCCTGACGCGACGCTCTACGTTGTCAATGTGGCGTCGCTCAGGTTCGGGAGAGAAGTTAAAAAACGAGGTCCGATAACGCCTCTCCTATTCTCGGCTGCGTTGCTCACGTAGTCCTTAAAGGTCCACTACAAATAAGACAAACAGAACCAACACATCATGGAAATGCATATAGCAAGAAAAAGGATGCGCGTTGATTTCGGTGCGGCGCTGAGATACATCTATTCGTGTTTGACGGATGCCCGTATTGCATCTGTAAAATCTAAGGCGCGATGACGCAAGGCGTGAACTCGCATTGCTCCGATCTACGTTGCTAATAAGGTATGGCTCGGATTCTGGGAGAAGTTAAAAAACGAGGCCCAATTACGTCTCTACGATCTGGTTGAAGAAAACTGCTGTGATAGCGAAGAGAGCCGTAAGTGCAAAAATGAAGTTCTGAGAAAACGGGCTCAGAAGCTTCTGAGTGGAACATTTTATAAAAAAAAGTCTCTGTTCTTTGTCTAATTGCCACTATTCGTCCGGAAGACTCCTAGAAATCATTTGGGGGATTAAAACTCGACCGATTTTATTTTAAAGCACATGAAAAAGGTAAAATTCAGTTTCGTGTTAGGTTATTGTTAGGCAAGACAGCCGTAAGTGCTATCTTCTACAACATGCTTGATCGTGGTTGCGTTTTGGATGCACAACAAAAACATTTTCAGGTTAGAAATTGGTAGAAGAGGGCGGCACTTTACTGGAAAGCAGGCCCGCCACATCCCATCTCGGGCCCTGGTACCAGTTTTAAGGTCCGGGCCCCAAGCACGGAGAGGGGGGGGGGTCCGAGGGGCATCCTCCGAGAAATTTTAGAATTTATACGACAAATCGGACGCATTTTGAAGCTTCCTTAAAGAATTTTTACATCAATTTCTGCGGAATGATTATGTTTTTTTTTTTCTACTTTCAGCACAAAATACTTGCGGATTGTTGCATTCAAAACATCTGGAAAATTTTTATTTTTTTTTGGGGGGGGGCTTATGATACTATTTTCAGTTCTAAGAGGGCCAGAACCCCCTGGACTCCCCCTTCGTTTGTCTATGGCAAGGGAGTTGAGCCATGAGCCATTGAAGTCGAGGATGCCCAGACTGGAAACTCTTAGCATCTGACGTCGCGTCGGAAGAAAATGAAATGCAGTTACTAAAAATATCCCTCTGTACTAAAAATCTTGAAAATAGATAGCAATTTTCCAAGAAGTATACTTCTTTGAAAATTTAAGAAGAATTCTACAGTGCCCCAGCATGTTTCTGAAAATCTTTTCACCTTTTGCGAAATTTTTAGGGTAAATTTTTCACTTTTTCTTACGAAACAAGGGTTGCATGTGAATTCGTAGTAGATTTTCACGAGTAACACGGGCCCCATCCGGGGCCCGGGCCCCGATACCAGGGACCAAGTATACCCCCTTGTGGCGGGCGCCGAATCGCCTGGAGACAGAATCGCTGCCGAAACGCCTTCAAATTTGGCGACGCAACCCAACCTCACATCGAAGTTAATTAAGTTGCATCCACCAATTGTCTATATTCTGAATGTTTTTTACCTGTACTGAGAACCTACTTCTTACATTTAAGGTAGTATCAATAGGACAGCATTTTGCAATAAGGATCTAGGGTCAAATTTTCGACTTTCGTTTTATGATGAATTCCGTGCAGGAGGGTATTTACTTACTTATGAGAAAAAGAAAATCCTCAAAAACGATTTTTATCCCGCTTCAGCGACCCTACAAAAATAATTGATCGACTTACACATATTGCCATGTCAGGGAGAAACACCCTGTAAATATTCGAATGTTGCTAAATATCTATCGAAAAAGTACTAATTTGACGGAAAATAATGAACTTTTTTCTATGAAAGTTCCAGATGATATAGATTAAATTTCAAAGAAACTTCACTGAAATTTTGGAAAACAAATATTCAAAATTTCTACACAAAATCCGTGTTTTATTAAAGGAAATTTGGCAATAGCCGAGGGCTTATACCTACGGCATTTTTCCTTAACGAGGCCGCAGAGTTTTCATCCCTAAACTATAACCTCTCCTTTATCAAGGATCTCGCACTGTCTTGTCTTCATCGAAGATATTCTTGCCCACGGTGACACTGAAATCGGCGTATCTCAATTTGAGCGTCGCTGACTTCATGTCATACTTCATTTTTTTAGCGGAAAACTATTTGAAATCAAAGCTAAGAGCACCGCTCGAAAATAAACTTATTTCATTACTGCTTCTGCCACTACGTTCCTTGAAAACTTCCTTCATTTCTGTTCGTTGTGTGAAGCATATTGTGAACATTTCAAGGTATGTTGGTTCGTTCGATCTCAATTGAGGAAATTAAACGGAAAGGAAATTAACTTCGTAATAAAGAAACGTAGTCTGGGAATTTTTCTTCCCTCGCATTTTACCATCAAAGTGTCATACTTAAAAAAAGTCATGAAGTGGACATAAGCGCCTGCATTTCGACGGTGTAAGTCGGCAATCACATAACTCGGTTTGCAACGTCGCAGACTTCCTGTCATACTTTATTTTTTAGACGAAAAACTACCCAACGGCAATTCTTTTAAACTGCCGTGATTTTTCTTCCCTATGCCAAGAAAATTCTGCAAAAACTTCAAGAGATAATTTCAATTTGTTCTCCTTTAAAAAAATAACATAGAGGTGGAGATTTTCAGACACTGCAAACGAGTTATGTGTTTGCCGACTTACACCGTCGATATCTTACTTTTACTTGTTAAACTTTAAGCTTCAACCACCACTCTACAACCACCAAAACGCGATTTTGTGATTAGGTAGCGCAACAGATCAATTTAATTGCGATAAATTGAATGACATAGCCACTGAATCAGTCTATCGATCTTCGGAGGGTTATCAAAAGTTTTCGATACTCTGGCGTAAGGGCTGAACTCGATTTCTACGTAAGCCCTGTTCCCCGCATTGACTCTACACTTTCTGGAGCTCATTTGGAAGTAGAGATACGTCCTTACGTTTTAGGGGTGACGAAGTGTGTATTTACCAGCTAGTAATTTGTTTTTTTCTTCCACATTTATACTGGCGTTCAAATCTAGTTAACGCTGGGGAATGATTAATACGGTTGTTTTCGAACTTCAAGAAGTATATCAAGTATATCGACAGTCACAGTACGGTCGCCAGTCGGAGCCAAACGCGAATGAGTGCCTGCAAGACTGCCGGAATACTACACGAATTGCGCCTAACGCTCAATGCGGTCGCCGATTCCCGTAGCGCCTACAAGAGTGCACGAATACTTCCCGCATTGCGCCTAACACCGTGCGGTCGCTGGTCGGCGTGAAACGCATATCAACAGTGTAAGTCGGCAATCACATAACTTGTTTGCGACGTCGCAGACTTCCTGTCATACTTTATTTTTTTAAACGGAAAACTACTCAACGGCAATTCTTTAAAACTGCCGTAATTTTCCCTCTCTGTGCGAAGAAAGTTCTGCATAAACTGCAAGGAATGATGTCAATTTCTTCTATTTTAAAAAAAACAACAGAGGCGGAGATTTCCAGACACCGCAAACGAGATATCGACGGTGCAAGTTGGCAATCACATAACTCGTTTGCGGTGTCTGAAAATCTCCGTCTCTTTGTTTTTTTTTAAAGGAGAACAAACTAACATTATTCCTTAAAATTTTTTGCAGAATTTTCCTCGCACAGACAGGAAAAATCGCGTCAGTTTTGAAGAATTGCCGTTGAGTAGTTTGCTGTTTAAAAAATAAAGTATGACAAGAAGTCTGCGACGTTGCAAACCGAGTAATGTGATTGCGGACTCACGCCGTCGATTTTCACTACAGTCTGGGTGTAGCCTAGAATTTCCACGGACCTTGCTCTTTCCTCTCGATTAAACGAGCTGTTTAATTCAATCGGGATGGATGACACCCCATCCTCTCGCCCGGATGGACTCCCAACATCGTGAGGATGGGACGAAGGGGAAGTGATAGTCGGCCGGAACCAGAACCGAGTAATTCTTTCCCGTGCGCATAACAGTCGTATACAAGCTGTTGTCTTTTCTCCAAAGCCCCTGCCTCTTGCTTCTTTTGCCTTCAACACTCAGCGGCGATGACCTACCTTGAAGTCACTGTCTGACCTTTTGTAAGGTCTGGCTAGCCTTGCGATAAGA